AGAAACACTAAACAAACTGAATTCAACAGCAAAAAAACCAAAAGGGATTTATCCCAGGAAATCAATGACTTGTTAATTGAGTAAATGACTTTCATATCCATAGAACAAATAAGAAAAAACATATAATATTAATAGATATCTAAAGAAATCAAGTAATATTCAATACCTACTGATAATTGAAAAACACAAAGAAGAAAAGAAATTCTAAACAATATAAACAATTCCTTAAAAAAATCCATTAAAATCTGGGGCAAGAAAGTCCACTTTCATCATTATCATATGCCACTGTTATAAAAGATGTGAACAATGCAATAAAATATAGTGTATATACCAGACAGAATGATTAAAGTAGACCATAGGCCTACTAAGTGTATGAGCTAAAACTATAAAACTTGTAGGAAAAAACATGAAGTAAATTTTCATGACTTTGGATTAGGCATTGGTTTCTTAGCTACGGTATCAAAAGCATGAGAAACAAAAAGAATTATAGATAACTGGACTTCATCAAAATTAAAAGTTTTGTGCATTAAAGGATACCCACAAATGGAAGTCAACCTACAGAACAGGTCAAAGTATCTGCAAATAATTACCTGACAAAAAGCCTGCACGTAGAATATATAAATAACTTGTATGCATGAACAATTAAAAGAAAAATAACTCCATTTAAAAAATGGGTAAAGGATTTGAATAGACATTTCTCCAAAGATGTATGAATGACCAACAAAAATGGAAAGATGCTCAACATTATTGGTTTTAAATGTGAATCAAAACCACAATTAGATACCACTTCATAAACACTAAGATGGCTAAAACAAAAGACAAACACAAGTGTTGGTGAGGATACGCAGAAATCAGAAATATCGTATATTGTTGGTGAAAATGTAAACTGATGCAGCCTTGAAATATCCTCAAAAAGCTAACCAAAGAACTACCATATGATGCAATAATTCCACGCCTACATATCCACCCAAGAGAAATGAAAATATATATCAACACAAAAAAAACTTTCACACAAATGTTCAAAGCACCATTATCCATAATGTCCTAAAAGCAAAATTAATCTAAACTCCTATCAATTGATGAATGGATAAACAAATGTGGTATATCCATACACTGAAGTTATTATTCTGCAAAAAAAAAGGAATGCATACTGTAACAAGGATGAATCTGGTAAATGTTTTGCTAAATGAAAGCAGCCAGTCACAGAAGGACAAATATTTTATGATTTCATTTATGTAAAATGTCTAGAATAGACAAATCCATACAGACAGCAAATAAATTAATGGTAGCCTGGGGCTGGCCATCGAGGCAGGAAAGGGAAATAACTGCTAATGGGCGTAAGATTTCTTTTTGGGTGTTGAAAAGTTCCACAATTAGATTTTAGGGATAGTTGCACAACTTTGTGGATATACTGAAAGCCACTAAACTGTACACTTTAAATGGGTGAATTTTACGCTTTGTAAAATATATCTCAAAAAAGTTACAAGAAAAAAATTATGCTGAGCAAAAGAAGCCAGATCCAAAAGAATACATACTATCCAACTGCATACATATGAAATGCTTTCTATTACTAATCTACAGTAATAGAAATCAGAGCAGCAGTTGGCTGCAGGGGAAGTTTCAGGGGATGAGGGAATTTTCTGGAGTGATGAAAATGTGATTTAAATGAGTGTATACATTTGGCAAAGCTCACTGAGTTCTATATGTAATATCTATAATATATGTAAATTATGTTTCAAGAAATGATAAATAAAAAGAAAAACACATGCAAATTGAGGTTTATAAAGTGAATATTCTTGACTTAGTACACAGTCAACTATTTAAGAAAAGGAATATCTTGTCAGGGCTCCCGAAGACCACCCCTAGGTTTGAGGATTTGTTAGGAAAACTTCCAGGACTCACCAGATAGTCCTACTCACAGTTATGATTTATTAGCAAAAGGATACAAAGAAAAATCAACAAAGGGAAAAGGCATATGGGGCCAAGAGGAAACCAGGCACAAGCTTCTAAGAGTCCTCTCTCTGTGGAGCACACAGGATGTGCTAAATTACTCCAGCATCAAACTGTGACAACACGTGTGAAATGATTTTGACCAGGGAAACTCATTTGCATTACGTGCCCAAGGTTTAAATTTGGGCTAGCCACAAAGGTACTTCCTGCCAAGTACAGACTAGGATTTCTGACTACCAAAGGGAAGCAAGTGTTTAGCCCAAACCACAGTGATTACACAAACAGTTTAGGCACAGTGCGACACCCTTACTGATGAGAAAATCCAGGTTCTCCGACACCAGCCAGAGGTCAACATTGCAAGAGGAACTTTAGTCTCAGTCCCGTTATGCCAATTCTTTTCTGTACAGGAATGATGTTTGCAGCTTACTCTCAATGATTCAGATAATAGTAA